CCCCCCCAAAAAAACCCACCCCAAACCCCAAATTCTCTCCTGCCTTTACCCGCTGCGCTGCCCTCGGGGGTCCCCGCGCAGTCCCAGCCTCCTGCCCCGGCCTCTCCCGTATTTATGAGCTCCTTGGAAAAAAAAAAAAACCTCCTCCAATGACACCGAAGGGACTCGCTGCTCCTCCTTGTTTGCAAACTCCTGAGCCCCGGCCAGGATGGTGCGGGGAGAAAACTTCTCCCCACCCTCTGCCTGGCATTCCCCCCCCCCTCCTCCGATGTGGGTGGGGGGGCAGCCCCCCCCAAATCCCCCCCCCCCTTTAATTATTATTATTTTGTCTTATTTTGCCCGCTGAAAGGCTGAAGGGGGGGTGAGGAGGGAGCTGGAAATGGCCCTGCTACCCCCCAAACAGCCCCGGCTGCCCCCCCCCGTGCACCTCAGCAGCCCTAAAACTTCAAGCTTGGGGGAAATGCAGAGAAAGGAGATGAGGGCACTGAAATTTTTTTTTTTTTTTTTGGGGGGTGGCCTGGAAATAAAAGGAAAATGAACCCAAAAGGAGGGTCTCCAGAGGGGTGCAAAAGGTGTCCCCCCCCCAGCCCCCTCCCCAGGCTTTGGCAAGCTGCAGCGTGTCTGTTTGAAAGGGGAAATCAAGGCACGGGTCCTACAGGCAAGGTAACCCCCCACTCCCCCTGCTTTAACCACTAGTCCAGGCTGTGCTTTGCTACCCCATGTGGGTTTTCACCCAGTTACCCCAAAGTCCCAGGTCCCCTTGTATGGGAGGGAAACTGGGACACAGTGAACCTGCTGGTAGGTGCTTGCCCAGCCTGCTTGGGGTCCTGAGTGATTTTTGCAGGGGATGGGGCTGGGAACAGCCCAGAGGGGCTGCAACATCCCCAGTTGGTCCCCACTACCCATCCCTGGGACACTGGGAGACGAAGGGCCGCTTCGATGCTTTGCGATCTTTGTCTTGCTGCCGCGTTTTATGGAGCGCTGCCCCATCCTGCAAAGCCACCCCAGCCCGGCTGGGATGGAAGCACCACCGTCATGCAACAGTATTTCCCACTAAATCCCAGTTTGGCTCTCACGAGGACAGGAAAGTCACCCCCGAGAAGCATTCCCCCAGCTAGGACGAAGGATCTCCAAGAAAGCAACGGGACCAAAAATCCCCAGCCGGACGCCCTTGCCCAGCTCATCCCTGCAACCTGCCCCAAGGAATATATTTAGTCGCTCGATTCCTTTATGATTCTGACCCCCTGACATGGGCTGCAGGGCTGCAGCGGCTCCGCTTTGAGTGATTGTGGATTTCCTCTCCGCGCTGCCAGAAAGCCGGCGGGCTGGGGTGCGAGCTGGGAAAGGCATTTCCCTGGGCTGGCCATCGCTGCCCTGTCTAACCCCCAAACAGGGGGGGGAAAAAAAACAAAACCCAGCACGGATCCCAAGCCGGGGTGTTTGTGCAGGTAGACAGCGATTTACCACGTGCCTGGGTGTTCCTATTGACTCTTGTCAGATTACAAGTGATGGAGAGAGCGGTATGTAAATGGAAGCTACGCGGGTTCAGGATCCGCCTGGGTTTCCTGGTCTCTCGCCCTGTTTGGCACAGGAGCGGGATCGCTGTGGTTCTGGTTTCTCGTGGGTTACGGCGATTTGGGGGTCCGAAGAGGTGGAAGGTGCCAACTTCGCTTGCCGCAGAAGCTGCAACTGCCTTGTCTGGGCTTTTCCCCGGGACCGAATTAAAGCCCTGCGTAAGCAACAACATTTTCCAAAGGAACTGATTAAATCTATTAAGCTATTTACAAGTGGGCTTGATCAGAGCTGCGTTATCTGGGAATACAACAGGAAGGCAACTTCTCTTAAATCTAAAAGGCGCAGGAGATTTCCTGGTCTCAGGACAGATTTATACACCCTTTACACACACACACACACACGCAGGCCGGCACATAGCAACTGCCTTTTATCTGTGTTTTGGAGCCGTACGTGCTCCTGGGGACAGCCCGTGCCGTCCCAGGCTTTACACAGCGGGCTCCGGTTCGCTCCGAAAGTCCTGTCTCACGCCTTGAAGTGCCGGGATGGGGCAGGGAGAGAGGATGCCAAACCCGCCATCCTGCTCCGAACGGGTCTCCCGGGTGCATTTTGCAGGCAGGAGTTGCTGCAGAGGTTGGCAGCAAGAGGTTGGGAAGAGAACCCGTAACATCCTTTTTTTTTTTTAAATTTCCCTTTACTAGGGGTTGAAGTGCACTTAAAGAGAAACTGCCCGAAGTTGCGAGGTTTTATTTTGAATGTGGTGTTACACCGCTCTGTGTTATTCTTTCACCCTCAGGATGCACAGGGCCTGGATATCATCAGTATTATAAAAACACCACCTCTATACTCGAGGCCCCGGAGGCCAGAGAATTTTAATAGTAGTAGTACAATATATCCCCTCAAGGGAGAAGAAAAGGAACAAACGAATTCCACTGGAGCCCTTTTACACGACACGCGGCAGTGCCTCCATCCTGCGCTGCATTTCCAAGGTGCGAGGACGGGAGGAAAGGTCTGGGGGGAGGAAAAAACACTGAGCAGGGACGGGACCCGCGTCCACCTCCTGCCTCTGATGCCTGAAAGCTCTCAGAGCAACTCACCGGGTTTTCCTGGTCCTTGCTATTCCCTCTGCATTGTGGGGGTAACATCATTTGATGTCCCCCAGGTATCGCAGGGGTAAACTCAGGTGGCTGTACAGAACCCCTCTCCCGAGACGCGTGCTGGGACTCCCGTGCGGTCGCAGGACAAAGAAATACTGCAAAATATTTCTCGTTTGGATTTTCTCCCACGCCGGAAGACGGCACCTTCCTAGGGGCCCCTACGCCACATTTTCAGTGCAAACAATAACAATAATAAACACTTTTTTTTTCTCCTCCTCTCCTTTAGCACCTGGCATTCTGATTGCATTAGTAAGATGGGTTTCATTCTGCACCCTACCTAAAATGCTGGTTAAACCTGTCCTGTAGGAAGCTCTGCATTACATAAAGACAGCTGGGGCCATGTGAAAATGCCACCTTTTAATTGCGACCGTATCAGGATAATTAGCAGCAGTCTGGAAAAACTCATCTCTACTTTTTATGCTTACCTTCCCCATTCTGGTGCAATGCTTACCTGTATCTGGGGCACAGGAAGAAGCAGAGCTCTCACAGGGCTTGGAGAGCAGGGAAATTACGGCTAAAAGCTACAAGCTAAAATAGACCGAGCAGACAAAGGGTGGAAGAAAGCTTTGTTCTCCCCGTTTTCACGGATGGGGAACAGTGGCAGCAACTCCCGTGGGTCAAGCAGAAAATCCGTGACCGAACCCGGCTTTCGCGCCGTTATAGGCGAGACCATCCCCGCTCTTTAAAAACATCCCTTTTTGGTATGGATCTGACATCTGGCATATTACTCAGCTTGCAAACGGAGGGTCTTATTTTCACTAAGTAACCCCCCCCCCCCCCCCCACTTGAGAGACATTAAAATGTGTGAGAAAGTGCAAATCCTAAATTAGCTCAATATTCACATGTTCCTTAATTATTGATGAAACTCTCGTCTCCCAAGGGCAGTTTTTGCAGAGCCAGCTGGGGGTTCCCAGCAGAAGAGCCGGCTCTCAGCGGTGCAGCTCCCAGCTGCTTTGCCACCGAGACAGAAGAACCAACCCTGCCCACCGCCTGTCCTCCCCGGGTCCACCAGGCTTTCCCCAGGGACCGCTACTGGGACCATTTATTTGCTAGGAGGAGAAACCAGAGCTTGCCCATTATATGGCCCGCAGCGAAAAATGTAGACAAAAAAAAATGCTAACATTTTCAGCACACACACTCATGGCGTGGAATACTTCTGCTCTTACTATTTTTAAACTGCAGCTTTAAGTTATCAAAAAAATATATATTGTAGTGCCTTTAGGCTAAAAGGGACTAGCAGAATTTCCTTCTTACACTTTAAAATTTATAAAAATGGACTAAGATAAGAAAAAAGAAATATCTTTGAGTGACTCAGAAGCAGAATTTAAGTTCTGACCTGCTGAGAAATCAAGCTCCAATTTAGCATTGGAACAATCTTCCCACTTCTGCCACCACAAAAGTTTGTATTTTTACCATATTCACCAGACACATTTCACTGAAAGTTTGCTTATCCCTACGTGGGATGGGTACGGAGCCTTGGTTATTGTCCAAGTACTCTGTGAGCTCAGATCCTCGACCACTAACACTATGTGGATGCGATTTATAACCCTTTGCGTAGCAAACCTCACGCTGGCCGGGAACGAGGAGGAATTAAGCAAAGGGCTGCTTTGGATGCTAGCAATCCTCACGCTGCTCAAGGACACACTATTATAAGATCTTTTTTCAAGACAGGCATGATGCTATGCAGCACTTCCAATAGACTGTGTGTGGTTTTCCTCTCTTCTTGGAGCTTCCTTCCTCCTCTTAGTGCTGGCAGGTTTGGAGGTTTTGTGACGTAAATTGTGCCTTTTGAAGGTGGATGCTTCAAGAACTTCAATCTTGTGTGTTTGAACGGGAGAAAATTGGTTAATTGCATTGGTGCATTCAGCTAATTTTCTTTGCCGAGAGCTGACTATCTCTGAAAGAAGTCAGCACCAGAGCTGCCTTTTGCTTAAAGGAAAATTGCATTAATTGAACATGATGCTGAACTGTCCCCAAACGTGTTTCTTAAATTTCACAAAGCAGCTGCATCCCAGATACCATCTAATGGACTGAGATTCACATAGATGTAAAGATAGGCGGTTCTGAAATCTTAATGGGTTGTCCTGAAACTTGTACTTAACAGTATCATGCATCTATGCTTTAAATTAACCTGGGTTGTTACTACCTCCGCTTTACACCGGTTGTGTGTAAAGCACTATGGCTAGTACGTCTTGGAAAGAAATTCAAGGAATGCTGCCTGTTCCACACATTTGGGTTGTCACGCAGCGTGCACCAGTGCAACCGCCCACCCTTGGCTCTAAGGAAGACTCTGCAGAGTCGGGCACAGCAAGATCAAAACAGCTGAAGCCCACACAGCTCGTGCAGACTTTGCTGCGATGCTGGTAGCAGGACTGCTTTTCCATGGCCTCTACTTTCCAGGATACAGTTTTGTGCTTGCAGGTATTTACAAGCACAAAAGTCAGCATATATATTGCTGTTCACAAAATTGCAATTGCAAATCACGTAGCTTGGCATGTAGCAGCCTTTGCACCGACAGTTAATTTCAAGGCTCAAAGCAAAGACCAACACTATACCTGTGAAGAATGGAAGTAACTCAGGAGAAACCATCATCTCTGTAAGGCTCCCAATGAGAAAAGGAGAATTTTCTTCTATGTCACTGGTGACCTGGGATTACTAAAACTGAAAACATTTTAATATCTATGCTATGTGTGCATCATTCTCCATTTGGAAGTGAAAGCAGAGTGGCAACTCTCATTTTGCTTAGTTTCTAGGTAATTTCACTTGGAGGGACATAATTTTGTGCTGCCATGTGTGAGTACAATGGACAAATATGTAACAAAAGACCTAGCTGTTTAGAAGTCTTATTTTCACAGAAATGAAACCAAGTAATTTCTCTGTGCTTACATTCTGCTAATTTCACTATTTGGGTAATGATGTAATTCTTCTTCTTATGCTTTCTAAAAAAGACCTCCTTGCCAAACCAGAGTTTGGTTAAAACTAGACTCACAACCCACTATAAGCAAACAAACAAAAAAATAATTTATTACTTTGAAACACGTTCCTGCTGTTTCAATCATCCATTTCACTAGACAGTATCTGGTAAGAAGAGCTTTTTGTCGAGTAACGCAAAGTTGGCTGACCACTAACACACACAAAGCAGAGCAGCTAAATGAATTGCTTGTTTCAAATACTCGTCTATTATGGTTCCCCCCCCCCCAAACCCATATTCTGCAGATGCTATTTCTCTTTGAGCTTGAAGCACATTAAAATCCCACATTTCCTGGGATAAAGTGAAATTCCCGCTTCTTGTACAAATAGAGAATCTTCTATTTGTAGCTGATATTTCAATCTGAGCCAGATTTAAATCTTAGGTACACTGTACTTAACTGCAGTAACACCATAAATTTAAAAATTTATTCCTGGTTTTATTCTTTCTATAACTAACACTGGAATCTGGCCAAACACTCATAAGAATTAGCACACAGAAACTCATGGAAGTTTAATACAGAGAACAAACAAACAAGCCTAGCAGTATTGGGAGAAGGAAACCCTATTCCTTGACTAGCACCTTTTAAAATTGAAATCCCAGAGAGACTCTAAAGTTTAGCTGCTTAAGAGTTAAAAAAAAAATCATGGGAAACAGTCAGGCTTTTGGCTTCTACTAACAAACAAAAATCCAAACTGATGGTGAACAAGAAATTAGAAGGGTTGCTTTGCAGGGGACCCACAAAACGTAGGATGCTTCAATGTAACATGAAAAATTATTTTGCTGTCTTATTCCATTTAGGTTATTTTTTTCACCCCAAGCATGGAGCTTACTCACACAACTCTACAGCAACCTCATGGTATTAAGTGGTATTTCGTTTAAGGAAGCCAGGGAACGAGCCCAGTCACAGCAGCATCATAATGGCTAATATTTGTACAGCAGCAAAAAGCAAATGCTACAAGGGTTAAAAACTACTGGCATGCCAGGTGAAACACAGAGAAAGGCATCTTGTTCTCCCTTACAATAAGTAAAACTACCGTAATTTTGCTGCAATGAATGAGTATGTCCTGAGGGCAAGAAAGGTGCATTGCAAACCAAGCTAGCTTAGAAAGGAAGAGTTCAGCTGCAACTAAAACACGTGAAGCCATGTGGACTGTGTGCTGCAGACTAAGTTTCTTCCGTTGGACAATAAAGGCAGCTTAAGGAAATTTTTTCATATTAACATCTGCATCTTGACAATGTTTTTCAAACCATGTTAAGCAACTCAAGTGAGCTAAGACAATAAAAAAAATGTATCCATTTTATTCAGCAGAGCAGGCCGATGGGATGTTTTGAATTTACATTGATGAAACACAGCCAGGCCCAAAGTCAAACGAACAGCTAATGGATTTGAATACTGGTCAGCTGCTCTGGATTATGCCATGATAACTGCCTGGCTTTCAGGGTTGTGCTGTCAATTTGCTGTGGCCAAAGCAATATCAGAACCGGACTGCAGGACGGTGAATGCTTCTTCCCATTCCAGCACTTTACTTCCAAGCTCACCCATCTCTTCTGACAGCTCTTAGGTGAGTGAGATTAACATGTCAAAATTCATGCTGAATCTTTAAGATCTCATACAAAACTGCTCATGGTAGTGCCGAGTTCCAGCATTACTTATTTCCAAGTTTACAATTAGAAACAAGCTCTAATTTGGTTATAAATCTAAATTGCAAGTTTTCAATGTGTAAATGACAATACTAATGCATCTGACCAGCTATGCTTTTAAAATCTATTTGGTCTCCCAATTTCAGAAAAAAACCTTTCTCTATCCAAGGCAACTTTTTGAATGCCAGATGCATCACAGAAGGTACTCTGAATGTTGCCTGGGAACCAAAGATTTTGATACAGTTAATAAAGGCACAGCTCCTTCAGCTTTGTTGCAAAGTTACAATTGCTTGACAATAGTTAACAACTGGCTAGGAAACAAAGGGAGGTATTTTTATTTCATTCTTTAGTACTGACACTCAGCCGTATACCTTTAATTAGAATAAGTATTTTGGGAAGAAACAACATTCATTTTATATGTTAAAAGAGATCAATGAAAAAATTAGACACGACTTTGCAAAAATCAGTTAAAGAATACATACAGCTTTGCAAAACCCCTCCTGTTTCCAGAAGCAGAGCTGGGCTATCACAAGTGAAAACAACAGTGGCTTTAACAAAGGCAGTACTAGAGTGACTTGATTTTTTTTTTGCCTGGATTGAGAAAAACACAGTCAGTGTGAAGCAGCAGATAGTAATTCACTGCCTTTCACAGTCTTAACCACAGTGGTTAAAACCAGGCCTGATTTTGCTTGCTGTTACCTGACTTGAATGGAGTTGCACCAGAGTGAACCTGGGCTGAAGGCAGCACAGGGTCTGCTGTGTTAAAACACAGCTCCTGCAAAGCCACCAAGGCGAACCGTCTGCCATACTGGAAGAGGCAAAGCCTAGCTGTTTTTTATCAAGTCTTGCTTTGCAGACATGCAAGCCTTGGCTCTACACATGGATATGTTTTTAGCACGGCACAGAAGCTCATGTTGGCCTGTCACCATGTTCTCCCTTTAAAGAGCTATGTTTAAACACAGTCTGTGGTTTCAGTCGGAGGTAGAGCGGTGTGCTCAAGTCTGGATTAATACGTGATGTCTGGCTGGTGTGTTTACACAGACCTCTCCTCTAACAGGCTGAAGTTCAAACCACCTCAGAGTCCCAGCTTGACTTAAATGGTCAAACGTGCTTGCAGCGCTTCTTTTTCTTTCTCTGCACTCCTTCGATACACTCATCTGTCTCCTCTTTTTGCCTTTTGTGTTTCTTCTTATGGCGTTTCTTTTGCTTTGCCTCAGAGTCCTTTATGCTGAGATCTTCCCCATCAGATATTCCCGTATAAATTTCTCCATTGCCCATATTTTCATCACAACTAATGCTTTCCCCTTCGTGCTGCTCTTTATGTTTCCTTTTCTTTTTCCCTGAGTGACGTTCATTTAACGGAGCATCCAGTTCCTTTCCATTCAAGCTACCTATCCTAGGTTGTTTCACTTTTAGTTTCTCACAATGCTCTGTACTCTCTGCCTCATCTCTCTTCTGCTTCTTCTTTTTCTTTTTGACTTTGGTTTTCAGTTCTTCTGAAGGCTCCAAAGCTTCATCGGCTGTTGGGCAGGAATTGTCTACCTTTGTTCCTGTTTCATTCTGGGATCCCTTCAGTTTTGCCATGCGCTTGGCAAAATATTCCTGTACTGTGAGAACACTCTTCACTGTATTGTAACCATCTGCAGGCTCAGATAGCCAGAGGTTTTTCTGCTTCTCTTCCTGAGACCTGGGATCGGTAACGTCCTCCTGCAGGTGAACAAAGAGGAGCAGGAGTTAGAGTCAGAAATAGTGGCTTTAAACAAAAGGTTGGGTTTTTTGCACACTAATAAAAAAATATTAAAAAATAATATGGTGCTTTGAAAATTAACTGTAAAAGTATGGACTTGGGCAGAAGTGAGAGGCAGCCCTTAACGCAAAAAGTAGCATAAGTTTAGGGAGAAGAGGTCGCAGTATGGAAGGCAGCAAGAAAATACAGAGCAAGACAATTCTCTGTTGCTTTGAATTTCTTACTGTTTACCTGCTCCTGTGCAACTCATGCAGATTATGTATAATACTATCATACTCGGTGTATTACACTCACTTTGCAAAGGCACATGTCTCTACAGGATATAAAACAACATGAAAAATAATACAGTACGACCTATTAGCCTGTGGCATAAAGGAAATCCCATGCCTGGAATACCTCTACAGCAAAGTGCAAGAACTTATGATATACGGAGCAATCCAGCATTGATGCATCTCTTCCATCTTATCTGATCTTTAGAAATGTTTGTTTCATAGCTGGTTTACTGTCATTGTGTCCTAGATGTTGTTATTTAAACACGCTCCATTTGATCTTACGTTATCAGATGGCAAAACCAACATCACAGGTTAGATCTTACAAGGCTTCTGCATACACAAAATAAATAGCTGCTGAACTCTAGCTGCAGGTGAATATCTATAAAAAGAGTCTAGTATCTAGAAAGTAAATATAAACCAAAAAGCAACGTATAGCTCTGGAGCTGAATGTTATGTATGCCATGAAGAGATTTGACTCTGAAAAAGTAACAAATGCAACAAGATGAAAATACATAACTTGTTAAATTATCTGTGACTTCCAAAATAAACAAGCAAAAAAGGCAGCTGAACTTCAGATTTGTTTACATGGACACTGAAGCACTCAAAAATAACCCTTCGTGGCGTATCCCTTCCCTTGGCAAAAGTCACAAATAACTTTTGCAAATGTCCCAAATTTTACATTGTTTTTTTTAAAACCTTGTACAACCTGCAGGTAAGTATTGCACACCTCCCTCAATGGAAAAAGCTGAGCAGGTAAGAATTGTGTAGAAACCTTACAACATGCTTCTTGAACGGGAGGTAATCCACAGCTGTTACAGTCAAATGTGGTGAGTATGACAGGGATACTTCACTATTTTTCCATTCATAAATGCACAGATAGAGAAGAGCATCCACTCTACCCATGCATCTTGTATGTGAACTGATGTGACCATAAAATGCAACCAAATCAGAGCAGTAAAATTTCACACCCACTTTCACTGGCATAAAACAATACACAAGGTGAAGGCCAGTAGCAAACTGGGAGATATAAAACCACTTATCTCAACACTTTATAGTTATTGCACGATGGTGTAGATAAGTGATCTGGCTCTCTTCAGGGCATCATTAGACTTGTAGCTGAAGTGGGGTTTATTAGGGTTTGTGAGTAACGTTTTGCAGGTCTGACTTCTTACGCATCCATAACCTTTACTCACATGAGCAGGAATGCAAAAATTTGTGTCATTAGTGATGCATTACAAGTAGCGATTTCCTCATACATCTGCTTTCAAGAGAGCTATTCCAGTGAAACAAAAATAACGCTACACTTGAGATTCCAGTAATGTTTGTGTGGGCACTTATAAAAATAAGATACTTTTCTTGTAGGAATACCTTGTACTGTACCTTCAGGTAAGTTTACGAAGTAACTGAAACTATTTGACTTCTGGCAAAGAAGTCTGCAAAGAGATGTTGAACCTGGGGAAAAAAAATAACCCGCAGGTATCCACACACATCTATACACAGAGGTTACATTCGAAAGGGGAGCTACAGTAGAAGTTTGACAAGACAGAATCCACAGAATAAATGGATTGAGCTACATTTGTAGTTGCTCTCTTTTTAATAAGATATACCTCCCAACCCAAGCAAGCAGTGTTAGTGCACATCAAAAGTAGATGCCCTGCTAAAGCAGAGTTAAACAGGTCACTTTCTCTTCCTTCTACCCACAGCAGGATTTTGACACCTTGTATTGCAAAATGACAAACAGTCTCCCAGGTTTTCTGCTGCAGATGCCAGCCAGAACAGTTTCCCTCCCCACCCCAATATGTAAAACGTGCTTGGGACCAGAACACCAATTACCCCCTGGCCAACCAGGAAAGGATTTTCTCATTCCCCTGGTGACTTCAAGTCCTGACAACTTAATTACTGTAATTGAAGGCAAATATTACTTGAACTCTACACATTTCTTTTATAAAATACGTTAGGCATAAAAAAAACGTTCCTTTGGTTAAGCTGAGGAGTTCAGAAGGTATGCATGATCCCAGAAAATAAGAACCTTGCTCAGAAACTCCTTTATTGATAAGAATTTTAATAACCATGGGCCACTGAACACAGAACTAACAGGGCATGGAGACAAGCAAAGAGGTGCCAACCTTAGAAAACCTCTCAGTTTAGGAAAAGCTTATGTGAAACCATAAATCACCTGGAAAGGCTGTTAAATGCCAAAAGTGTTCCCCCTCCCATGATGTACCTGTCCTAGTAGCCATGGGAACACCGCTGAACTCTAAACATGGGTTTTCTCTAACCTCTTGTCAGGAGACTCACCATTTATGCAATTCCTCCCCTGCTTGCCCCAACACACACATATCGAAGTTTCAAAGGAAAATAAGATATACATACTTAAATGTGTACTGTGTTGCTGCAACTTCTGAAAAGCAATTTATCAGACAAGATAAAAGACAGAAAGAAACGCTCCTGCTCCAAAGAACTGATGATCACGTAAAAGGAAAAGAGCAATCATGTTGTAACTGGTGGGAGGCCTGAAGGCTGGGCTTTGGAGGAGATACGTTTGTCCACACCATGAGTTCCAAAACTGCCAACAAAACTGGGCTGAGAAGATGAAGTTAAAAGGAGCTGGGAATACTGTCCTCTAAGGAATTGGTAGGATGGTCCCAAGCAAGAGAAAAGGACTGCTTGAAACATGGTGTTAAATGTGGAATGATTAAGAGGAAACAATAGGAAAATTCAAGGAGAGACTGGGAAGTGCACAGGAACAGATGAAGGTCAATTATAGCCAGAAGTCCCCTGTAAATATCATCTGTTTATGTAATTAGTTAAATGTATGGAAAATCATTTGAAGCACATAAAGCACTCTAAGCACCACCGTGGTTTTTTTTTCTGCCTGCTTTCTTCACTTGAGACACACAATGCTGATTTAATCGTTAAGTTAGTACACACAACTTAGACAACGAAATCCCGGTTCCCTTGACTCCTGCAGGATCAGGATTGCATCTCTAAGGCATCACACTTTCAGAGCACCTTTCAGCTACAGTTATTTGGTGAAGAAAAAAAATAGGGATTTGTGGTCAATTATAGAAACAATTCACATCACATTGTGAAAACAGTTTGGCAACAGTAGAAGTCCAAAGTGGAAAGTATTTAGACACCTCATGAAATCAAATGAGTTTGAAACCCAAATATCTTTGGAGATTTAAGACCTTAGGTTGAAGAATTAAAATCCAAAAAGAAAAACTGGATCTGCATGTTACTCTGGGAGGAAAAGTGAGATATAACCAATCAGCAAAGACAAAGGGTGCCAGTACATAAGCAACAGAAGCAGCTTGGATTAATTCAGTGAAATTTCCCTCCTCTTCAGACTGCAACTGTTTCTTTCTTAGCACTTAAAGCTTAGAACAGGGGAATCAAAAAATCTACTATACAGTCTCACATCTGCCACACACGAACTACAATTACTTAAGTAATTTCACATGCCTTTGCTTCCTCATTTGCAAATGAGGGGGTACTAATTCACAAGCAATTTTGATAGCTCAAATTCACAAAAATGCCACAAAAGGAGAAGTACAGAAGGGGTGAGCATAAAGGCAGAATAAAGCTAAACTATAATTTCAGTAGATTCTCACTTAAATTACAGAAAATGGGCTAGATGAAGTAAGTAGAGGCTAAACCTCTAGCCTGAGTTACAAGGCAATCACACGATCATTCATAGCTTTAAAATGCAACAACCCCTTTCTGCAGTCTGGCTGAACCACAGTGATTAGCTACTTCCTTGTTGAAAAACCGTAACAATAAGATTAATATAATCCGGTTCTGTTTCTGCTACTTCAGATCCTCACTGCAGAGGTGTGTTGGTATGACCCCCATGCAGTGCACAAAACTTGACAGGCAAGAACTGAGGGCATCCCTGTATCTTTCTAACCCAGGTCTAGCTGTAATGGGGAGAAGCACAGCAGATTATTCATGAAGAGTCACTCTGGAGCTTTGCAGACATTAAGGATGACAGAGTCTTGCTTTAAGGAGTTGACAAAGTTAAGTATGAGCATAAACATTTGGATTGGGATCAAACAGGCAAGAGAGTGAACAAAGACTTGTAGCATGATGAGTTTAAGCAGGATTAAAATAAATACATGCATAAATAAGGCCACATACCATCAGTTCTGAAGTTCAATTCTGGCATAAGAACAGGTACCCAGGAGGCTTTAATGTTTTCAATTTACCTGATTAAGATTGGTAAATTGCAGACAGCATCTTTTGAAGAACTAATAACAGACTTCCAATACAGAAAGGGCTGATGCAAAGGGAAAAGGGGACAATTTTCCCTGTGCTTATGAGGAAGAAGCCAAGCAGCAGCAGATGTAAATTACCAACATGCAACTTTGCTAGTAGGAGAAATCTATGAGTATGTATGTGAAGCCTCAACCACCACCGGCAGTCTCAACCATTGAAAGCAACTCAGACAACTATCAGGAAAGCACTAGGTAGAGTTAATCCTTGCTTGGAACGGAAAATGGAAGATCTGGACTCTAGAAACATCTTCCAGCCTTGTAAAGCTTTAAAAACTGAAACAGGGATACGATTTGACCTCCTGGTGATAAAAGAGGGTTTAATGGAAGAGATGAAAAGCAGGAACACTAAACCTGGAAAGAAATGGTAAAAATTCAGGTCACCTGCAATTTCCTTCTTTTGTTGACCCTGGT